CTGCCAGCGCTCCCGCACCCAGTCGGCCGACAGCGACGCGCCGTCGCCCGCGCCAGGCGGCGGCAACTGCGGCCTCCGCCCAGGCACGGGCGAGGGCAGGAAGGGGAGAGGGGGAGGCCCGGCCAGGGCAGCGTACACTCGCTTAGGGTCGGCCCCTCTGCGTGTGCTCCCACCCCGTCCATCTTCGCAGCCCTCCAGCCCGACAAAGGCGATGGTTCCGCCTGAACTGCGGGCCTAGCGCTCGCATGTGCACCCATCTCAAAATGGGCAATCCGCATCCTCATCATCCAACTTAACATCGCTGCTGCTGCGCATTCGACAAGGTTGGGGACTGCTCGTGTTGGCCAGCGTGGACCCCAAGCCGTACACTTCTAGCAATACATGTTGCGCAGTCTAGGTTGTGAATTTTGTGGTGTGCAATAGATGTGGTGCAGATTTTGTGGCACACTCTATCTGGTGCAATATACGGTATAGGTCGTGCACCCTATGTGGGGCTAACTAGATTGTGCAACATACGTGGTACAAACCATGTTGCACACCTAGGTGGTGCAATATATGCGGTACAGCCTATGTGGTGCAATCTATGCGGTGCAACTGACTACCCTGCACCGCGCTTGACCACTCCACTGCTCGCGCAAACATCCCACCCAACCACCCGCAACTTGGTTCGCAAAATCTCTTAAGACCGTGACGGTGGGTACCAAATGGCACTTGCCAGCGACAGCGACGCCGACGACGACAGCGACAACGACGACGACGACGACGCCGCCGATAACGACTACGACGACACCGACGACGTCTCCAATGACTTCGACGGCGCCGACAACGACGACGACGACGACGACACCGACGACGACGACGACGCCGACGCCGACGACGACGACGACGATGACAACGACGACGACGATGACGACGCCGCCGACGACGACAACGACGACGCCGACGACGACGACGACGACGTCAACGACGCCGACGACGACGACGACGAAGACGACGACGACGACGCCGACAACGACGACGAAGACGACGACGACGCCGACGCCGACGACGACGACGACGAAGACGACGACGACGTCGCCAACGAAGACGACGACGAGGGAGGAGGGAGGACGATGACGGCGACAACGACCCACTTTTACTGTCTTGAAGCTGTCCTCTCCAATGCTCGTGCAAACATCCCACCCTCCCACCCGCAACTTGGTCGCAAGACCTCTTGAGACAGTGACGGTAGGTGCCAAATGGCACTTGGCAGCGACAGCGACAGCGACGACGACGACAACAACAACAACGACGACGACGCAAACGACGACTGCGACGACACCGGCAACGACTCCGACAACTTCGACGACGACGACAACGACAACGACGACGACGATGACAACGACGACGACACCGACGACGACGACGACGCCGACGCCGCCGACGACGACGACGATGACGACGCCGACGACGACGACGACGACGACGCGAACGACGACGCCGACGACGACGACGACGCCGACGACGCCGACGACGACGACGACGAAGACGACGACGACGACGACACTAACGAAGACGACGACGAGGGAGGAGGGAGGACGACGACGACAACAACGACGACAACGACGAGGGAGGAGGGAGGACGGCGACGACGCGAACGACGAAGAAGGAGGGAGGACGGCGACGCCGACGACGACAACGACGAGGGAGGAGGAAAAAAGACGACGACGACGACGGCGACGACGACGACGACGGCGACAAAATAGGAGGAACGACGACGAGACGCCGACGACGGACGACGACGACGACAAGGGAGGAGGAAGGACGACCACGGCGACAATGACGACGGTAACGACGACGACGACGCCAAAGAGGACGACGACGACGAGGAAAGACAGAAGACGACGACGGCGACGACGGCGACGAGGGAGGAGGGAGGACGACGACGACGAAGACGACGACGACGCAAAAGCGCGCGCGCACGCTTTTGCTGAAAATCCGTGTTGCGAAACCTTGTGTTTTTGTATGTGTTTTGGACACTCGATTTTGAAATGCTTCCGAATGAAGGATTTTAGCATGCGCGCGCGACGACGCGCGCGCGCGTGCACTTCGTCCACTTGTTTGCAGAGGATTCTCGCGACGGCACGCACGCAAAGGCGTTCGAAAGATTTCGACATGCGCGCGCGCGAAGCCCGTTTGGTAGCTTATTCTGATGAAAATCCGCCCACCCTGTTGGCGTGTGTGAGGGGTTTCTCCGTTCGACTCGTCGTCTCCGTCGTCGCCGTTCTCCCCCTCCCAGGGCTCTCCTCCTCAAGCGCGCTACCCAAAACGAAATTAAACGACGTCCTAGTGGAGTCGAAGGGAAGCCCCTTCCCTTTGATCCCTTCCCCGCAGGGGGGGGGAGGGGGGGGGGGCCCGGGGCAGATACGACGCCCGCCGGGGCGCACTTTCCTCGAGCCGGCACGCACGGGATGCACTTCCTCCTCCTCCTGGTCCTCCTCCTCCTCCTCCTCCTCCTCCTCCTCCTCCTTTTCCTCCTCCTCCTCCTCCTGCTCCTCTCCTCCTCCTCCTCCTCCTCCTCCTCCTCCTCCTCCTCCTCTTCCTCCTCCTCCTCCTCCTCCTCCCGCAGAGGCGTCTCGGGAGCGGGCCCCGAGTCAAAATACCACCCCCCTAGGGCGCATTTTCCTCGAGCGGGCACGCCCGAGGTGCACTTCTTCCTCTTCCGGGAGGGGAGCACGTCCCAAGTCAGAATATCACACACCCGGGGCGCACTTTCTTCGAGCGGGCACACAAAGGATGCATTTCCTCCTCCTCCTCCTCCTCCCTCTCCTCCTCCTCCTCCTCCTCCTCTCTCCTCCTCCTCCTCCTCCTCCTCCTCCTCCTCCTCCTCCTCCTCTCATCCTCCTCCTCCTCCTCCTCCTCCTCCACCTCCTCCTCCCCCTCCCCCCTCCTCCTCCTCCTCTTCCTCCTCCTCATCCTCCTCCTCCTCCTCTTCCTCCTCTCTCTCCTCCTCCTCCTCCTCCTCCTCCTCCTCCCACTCCTAGCCCTTTCGATCAGGGTCGGCGGCACCGGCCGTCAGGCCTCTCCAATATTGAGAAACCTACGTATGGTTTTCTTCATATTTCGCAAGAGCGCGCGCGAAAGCTTTTTTAGGAATTCCGTGTTGCGAAACCCTACGTCTTTGTATGTTTTCTGGAAGCTCGATTTGGGAATCCTCCCGGAACCAGGCGTTTTTGAAGGATTTCGGCATGCGCGCGCGACGCCGCGCGCGTGTGCACTTCGTCACATTTCTTGCAAGGGATTTTTAAAAACATCTGATTTTTGATGAACGAGTGCGCGCGCATAATATTTTTTGCAAGGGAACCGAGGGGGGGCCGATACAGGTTCCCCTGGGGTAATGTAAAGTCATATGTCGGATGGACGATGGGGCAGAATCATATGTAAATTGCGATACGAAAGGGCGGTCTTTAAGCCCCGGGGGGGGAGGGTGGTAGAACAGATTCTTGTTCTTAGAAAGAAAAGTCAACGTGGCGCAATCGGCGTGATTCCCCAATCAGAGCTTGCCTCTGTAAGGGTCCTAGCGGAATCATGTGGTTAGGTTAGGTGCGCCACCGATTTCGGCGGCACGCCTGGGTGCCCGGGTGCCCAGGTGGTGAGGTGCGCCGCCGATTTCCGCCGGTGCCCGGGTGTCCGGGTGTCCGGGTGCCCGGGTGCCCGGGTGCCCGGGTGCCCGGGTGCCTGGTGCGCCTATATGCCCGGGTGCCCGGTGCCCGCGGGTGCCCGCGGGTGCCCGGGTGCCCGGGTGCCCGGGTGCCTATATAGGTGCCCAGGTGCCAGGGTGCCCAGGTGCCCGGGTGCCCGGGTGCCTGGGTGCCTAGGTGCCCAGAAGCCCTACCCTATAGCCCTATAACCTTTTTTTCCCCCAAAGAAGACACGTGATGATGACAACTGCCAGCTTTCCAACTGATGGGACGATGACTCCACCAAGCAAGCCAAGAGAAGGTGGTCGGGACCCCTGTCCCGAACAGTGCAAAGTGTGGCCAGGCCCACGCTGTCGTATGACGACGAAGAAACCAAAACAGCAAGAATGCAGAGAGACCGAAAGACCGCCAGGAGAGGAAAGAAGAAGAGGAGCAAGATACCGGAAACAGCCCTATGGCGCTATAGCCCTACAACCCTATGGCCCTGTAGCCCTATAGCCCTGTAGCCCTATAGCCCTACAGCCCTATTGCCCTATACCCCTATGACTTTATAGCCCCATAGCCCTATAGCCCTTTAGCCCAAATAGCCCCATGGCCCTACAGCCCCATACCCTTATAGCTCTATAGCGCTATAGCCCAATAGTCCTATAGCCCTAAGAGGATTATGATTGGGGCTTTTCTCTGGGATCATGCAATCTATGGGGTGTGTTTCGCATTATCAATCTTGAATTTGTCAACTCAACTGCTCGCGCAATCATCGTATCCACCCGCCCACCCGCATATTGGTTTGCAAAAGCCATGCGGCGGCGACTGCGATGACTGATTGGCGCTGCATGGCTGGCGCATCTCTGCGGCAACGCTAGCGCGCGCAAGCTTGCGCGCAGAGCGGCGAGCTAGTTGGTCGCGGTGGCGCTGACCGCCGGGCCCTTCCCAGCGCGTCCCGCAGGCCGCGCTGACGCGCGGGCTCTTCATTGCGAGTCGGTGGATCGGGCGGGCGCGGTATCATGGCGACGTCGACAATGGCAGACTCGATGCTGATAGTAGCGATGCTGGTGGCGACGATGACGATGACGAAGGCAAGGCCAATGAATGCGCCGATGCTGATCACGCCGATGATGTGATGGTGTCAACGTGTCGGCGATGAAGGCTGTGAAAGAATTGCGATATGCGCGCGGCCGATGGGCGCGAGTGGCCCGGAAGGTATGATTTGACAGAGATCGTGCCCCCCCCCTCCTGAGCACGCGCAAGGGCGTGCGAATAATTTCGACAGTGGTTGCATGTGATGGAAATGTTGAAAACCGATGGCTGTCTTAAGATTTCGTATGAGCGCCCGAGCAAACATGTTTGAAACATCACGTTGCAAAACTGTGGTTTTTTCGTCCATCAGGTTTGA